TGCGCATGCAATGACATCTCCAACTGGCGACAATGCCAACAACGGAAACATGGGCGCGGGGGCTCTTCCACGGCCTGTGGGTAGTAATGTGGATACAAAGAGGAAAGCTGGTGATGACAGCAGCGACGAGTACTCTGAGGACGACAGCCTTGGGCCGCCGCCGGCACCAACGCAGCGCAATGGAAAAGATCTCGAAGGACGGATGCGTGACTTGGAGGCACAAGTCAGGTACATGAATACGGGTAAAAGAACTGCGCAGAAGGCTAAGAAGCAGCTTAGCATTGAGCTTGAACATAACAACACCAAAGTCACGCAGCTCGAGTATGAAAAGAAGCTACTGGAGGCTACTGTGGAGGATAATGGGAAACAGGTGCGCTTGCTGCGGGATGAGGTGGAGGACTCGCAGAGAACCCTGCAAAGCGAAAAGCGTCGGCACGAGGACGAGCTTGATGAATTCCAGCGCAGCCACAGACGTGAGATGGAGCAAGTTCAAGAAGAGCAGCGGCAGCTGCGTAAAAGGAATATAGAGCTTGAAGAAGATTTGGACTCTACACGCGCAACCCTGCAATTAAAGAAGGACGAGTGTGCACAGTTGGAGGCAACAGTTTCTAAACAAGCCAGCGAGCACATTGAGCTTGAGGGAAACTGCCGCAGTCTACGGAGCAAAGCGGAGCAGCTGGAAAATATCATTAGCGAGCGTGAGATTCGCATTGCGGAGCTGGATGAGGATGTGGCCTCGCGCAGTCATACCATTGAGGAATTGGAGGCCAAGCTGCGCAAGGAGGAAACGCTTCGTCGGGGACTCCACAATGCTATCCAAGAACTAAAGGGCAACATCCGCGTATTCTGCCGTGTGCGCCCTTTGGGTCAGGCAGACGAGGCTGCCATGTTGCCTATCCGCCTACCCACTTGCGAGGACAACAACGAGATCGAGCTGACACAGACTTCGGAAAATGCGCTTGGCCGGAGCACCTCAAAAACCTTTCCGTTCAAGTTCGATCGTGTCTTTGAGTCAGAGTCGACGCAGGAAGCGGTCTTTGAAGAGGTTTCGCAGCTGATTCAGTCGGCACTTGATGGTTATCCGGTTTGCATCTTTGCGTACGGCCAAACTGGTAGTGGAAAAACTCACACCATGCAGGGTCCAGATGCACTATCTGCCAATGACATGGACAGTTCGGTCCTGGGGGTTATTCCACGTGCCGTGAAGCAAATTTACGAGAATACTAGCAAGTTAGCCGAGCGCGGCTGGGAGTACTCGCTCGAGGGTCAGTTCTTAGAGATCTACAACGAGACCATCCAGGATCTGCTTGCCCCAGCTACTCGTAATTCACAGAATGGGGAAAAGCAGACAAAGCTTGACATCTATCAGGATAGTGAAGGCCACACACGGGTGAAGAACGTTACAACAGTAAATGTAGATAGTGCAGGGCGTGTGCACTGGCTGTTGGCTCGCGCTGCTGAGAACCGCACTGTTGCTGCGACCAACTGCAATGAGCGCTCATCCCGATCACATAGCGTGTTTACGCTCTATCTTCGTGGCAAAAACAGCCTTACTGGAGAGTCTTCATCGGGCGTGCTAAATCTCATTGATCTCGCTGGCTCTGAGCGACTCTCAAGCTCTGGCTCCAGTGGCGACCGGCTCAAGGAAACACAGGCGATCAACAAGTCGCTGGCTTGCCTTGGCGATGTAATTGCTGCTCTAGCAAAGGGCAACCGCCACATTCCATACCGCAACTCTAAGCTTACACATCTGCTGCAAGAGTCGCTTGGCGCCGGTAACTCCAAGACCCTGATGTTTGTTTGTGTCAATCCTAGCCCATCTAGCTCTCAGGAGTCACTGTGTTCGCTGCAATTTGCCACAAAGGTTAATTCCTGCCAGATCGGCACTGCACGTCGTCAAGGGGCCACATAATTATCTTTAATCTCAAGTTGCAATCTCTTCGTTTATCCCCAATCTTTTTTTGACACTCCCAATAGCCTTTACTTTACTAAAGTATTGGCGTTTAGAAATGATTATTGTGGCATCATTTGGTATAAGCGGGTTTGCGCCATTCAGGTAGTGTGTTTGCGTTGTGGGCAAAAGTGCCGTTGGCGGTGTGGTTGGCGTTGGTTTTTGCAGTGCAGACTGATAAGCAGAAGGCAGCTAACTCCCTTTTTGCGGGCGACAAGGCAAGTTACATGTATTGTATTGTATTGTATTGCATTGCTATGCCATTGCTAAAACATCTATGCTATGTGTCTACTCAAAACTAATACCAATGTCTTGTTGACCTGTTTCTTGGTTCTTTCTTATTGTCTGCCAACGCAAACTGTACCTGCAAATCGTACCCGCCAACTACACACGCCAATCACGCACACACTATGTTTCTCTTGACGCAAAACTCAAGAATTACCTCGATTATCACAAACGCCATTCACTTGATGCGCTAATAGTTCTTTTTAAAAAAAAAACAGTAGCCTGTGAATATTTAACAATGGTTTCATACAAAATCATTTTCTTTCTCAGCCACATGCTTTGGATGTCAGTATGTCTATCTACAGGAGATGACATCTGACATGCGCATTACTGGAAACTGTGCAGTAAAAACACCCACTGCATACTTCTTTTCTAAATACTATAGACTCGATATCCTCTGTGAGGTTTCTATAAAACTGCTATTTCTACAAGGAAATGCTAACGTAACATTATAACAACTAAGTTGTTAAGTTGATCAGCCCACTTTAACAAGCATATAAAATATGCAATATTCGTAAAATGTCGATATGTTAGAAACAATCCTCGATACGTAACCTATTTCTCAAAAAAAATTCCGAGAAATGGTAGACGCAAAGAAAAAAGATAGAAATCCTGCTGTATCTGTTAGAAACCAAGTACTAATACGCAACAGTTCTCTCTTTTCCTTTCTTTTTCATCGCTGTCACCAACCCCACTGCTCCGTGTTTAAACCCCATCTTTACTAACAAAACAAACACTTTGCCATTTTAACCCAAATCTCTCATGTCGACTACCTTGAAAATATCACTACCCAAAGGTCAACTCATTATATGCAAAAATAGGACTTGTTGTACAAACGTAAACTTCTATCAAAATGTTTTCAAGGCAAATATTCGACTTGCACTTGTGTTAATTTATGCGCCCACTATCGCAACACACGTTGCATGGCGGTGGGGTCCCTCCTAGCCACTCGCGAACATCTCTAGCTGCTGCAGTGGCGCTTACACTATTATTGCGGAAGTAGGACTGGCCCATGCAGTTTGGGCATGGACTCCCCGCCCCAGGAACATGTTGTATGTAAGACGAAGTCTGCCTGTCTGGTCCTGCTCTGGATACGGGGTTTGTGTTTACGCGAGCAGGGTATTCCTGCCGCTGATATGTAGAATTATGTGGAGCCAACAGGTCGTCTATAAATCCAAGTAGCGATGAGTGGTATGGGCGCGAGCGAGACTTCCTCACCGTTGCACCAACGGGACAGGCGCATGGAATCTTATAGAAAACCCAGCCACTGTTCCGACAAACCGGGCATACAACAGTGCACAGTCTCGATTGCGAGTTGCTGCCACTGTTACCGTCATGCCAATGATTCCTAGCAAGATATGGCAAATTGTTAACTGCTGGACCAGACATGCGGTTGTCGCGTAGTGTAGAGTATCTGATATTATCATCTGCGGGCAATGAATGTGCATATGAGGCGTACATGTGTGGAAGAGAGGCATGGGTACGTGGCGACATGTGTGGCGGCTGCTCCATCTGTTCATAACCCATGCTGTGTTGCGAATGTATTCGACTGTCTATCGGACCTGAGGCAACATCGACTCGTCTTGGTAGCGGAGGAGCAGTTCCGCTGCTATCTGCGCCCTCATGGAACTGCCGCGCAAACTGGCTGCGTGGGTCAGACGGGTTGATAACAAGCCGAGGCGGCTGTGCTCGAACTATTGGAGCCCCAGCGCCAGCATCAATTGACTCCTCCTCGGGAAGCGGAAGCGGCGTGTATTTTGGTGGGTCGTCATCATCTACCAGGTGTCGGCCCTGAGTAGCGGCCATTGTTGTCTTCCTGTATCCCGTACGTGGATTCGGCTAAATGGCTGAATGTTTTCAACACAAATCCAGCCTGAAAAAAAAAAAAAGTTGCAGCACAAATTTATTGCTACTCGCCTAATATAACAAAATAAATAAAGTGGAGGAGAGCAAGGTTAAAAGACTTGGCGCCAAGGCAAAGCTAAAAAGACAGCTGTGCCTTTTTCTTCTCAAAGCTAACTCCGCAGCTGATGCGTACTCTCTTATGTCCCTTAGAAGGCTCCATGTGACTCTGCAGCAAACACTGTACAGTTTTTTAAGAAAACTATTGGCGCATGAAAAAAAATATATATATTTGCGTTGGTCAATGTAATTTTTGGCAGTGAGTGATCTTGTGTTTTGCGTCGTGAGAGGCAAAATTTATGCGTAGTTGGTGTTAGCAGACAAGAAAAGACCAAGAAACAGCACAGCAACATATTAGTAGCAGTTTTGAATATACATAGTGTAGGCATTTTTAGCAATGTCATACCAATAATACACAACACAACACATCCAACTTGTCTTAATGTCGCCCGTATTCCCGTAAAGGAGGGTGTAGTCAGATGTGGAATCGTTAAAGACCACAAGGTTTGTTTGGTTATTCTGTTTGCCGATGCTGCGCAGGAGGGCCATCATCAGAAACCGCCGCAGGATCATTATCTGCACATCTTGGGCGCATAAAGCGCTCAGACACATTGCCAACGGCCTCTCAGACCATGCGCAAACAACACCCCCACCTGCAACGCAAACACACTGCCTGACTGGCGCAAACCCGCCGCTATACCAACTCCTGCTAAAATAATCATATGCCGACGCTAATACTTTTGCAAAACACTGTAACAACACATGCCACTACCCTTGTGCTTGCTATTGTAAAAAAACAACGTTTAAATAATTTTATAAACAAGCTAAACTCAGAAGAGGCGTAACAGCCGGCTCTCACAAGAGCACCTTGGCGCAGTGGAAGCGCGCAGGGCTCATAACCCTGAGGTCCCTGGATCGAAACCAGGAGGTGCTAATCTTTTTAGAAGTTGTTGAGAGTCTATTTTTTTTTGTTAGTCTGTTTTAAATACTGTGCCCTTTTATTACTGCTTCTTGTTTAATAGTAAATCTTCTATTGTCACGTTTTCGCTTGTAATTTAATGAGATAGTGTACACTACATTTCTACATTTACTAGGGTTTGTCATTCGTGCAATTACGGTTTCATGTAAATGTTTATCTGTTTCCTAGCTACTGCTGTGTCCTTGTATGTTTTTTAACATGGAAACCACGCAGTAACAGTCTCTCTTGTTCGCTGACATTGTCTTTCCATTTTAGCAGCTTGCCAGAATTCCACAACTCAAGGCAAGAATATCGCGCAATGTTTGCATCTACATACACATGATACCGGCCAGCCTAGCAGCACAACATAAAATGGCAGCGTACCGGCTAACATCGTGGATACTGAAAAGGCGACTTTCTTTCTCGTTCATCTAGTACTTATATCTGCTTTTGTTAGCTACCGGATCGGCCACCAGATTATCAACAATGCGTCTTATCTTTGTCACTGCACTTTTCGCTTGCGCGGCGTACGCTGCACCTCTTCCAGCAGAGCATGAACTGTATAGCGGTACTCTTGGCGGTATTATCAAGACACTTTCTGGGTTGACTGAGGCAATTGGCAATCTTATCAACGAGAATACTAACGATCTTGGCCAGGGACCTCATTAGCTTTTTAGCGCTAGCTCATTTAATAGACCTGAAATGTTGGGTTTGTTGTTTTTAAATATATTTTGAGATTTTCTTTTTTAAAATATGGAACAGCACATACTGGCTGCTTGCACATGAAATTCTAGTGGTAGCTTCATTTAGCACAATGTAGTGCAGCCAGTCTTTCTTTTGGGGGGGGGGTTTATTGCGTCTGGATGGATATTGGCACTTTTTTTGTGCGAATGTGCGCTTCCATTTTGATAAATTTCATTGTAAATAGAACGTGTATTATATCATGTATTTGGAGCTTCTTTGATTAGTGGGGCGTTGTTCCTTGTCGGGCTATATTGTCTTTTGCGCTACTTGATGCATTGTCATGTTAGCTCACTCCCGTGATATGTGGCTTTGAGTTTCAGCTTTGAAGACAGTTTCTGAGATTGTAAACTTAACAACAAAGAACAGTGGACTGTTGGTTGTGCTAGCAACCACTTTTACTGTTAAATTGACATCCAGTGTTCGCTACACAGCATATCTGCTTTGGAAACAATGCCCTGTCCATTTGTGTTTGGAGACTTGTTTTACTGCACAGCGGCTCAGCGGAGATGTGGCTGGCCAGACTGATTGCGCCAACGCCAGCAGAGCCCCTACCGTTTCTTTCGCACAAGTTCACTTGATATTTGAGGCGTTTCGGACATTGCCCATGTTATAAAATAGCCTACAACTTGCTCCAGCAGCTCGCGCACAAGCCTTGTAAAATTTTCCTAAGCACCTGTTAGCTCTTTTTCTTGCACAACTGTCCCCCTGGTCGGTATATTTCTTTCCTACCAATATTTTCTTACTAGCTCTTTGCATTAAACCCATTTGTTCTTAGCCGCTATGCTTAACTTTGCCATCATAACCGTTGCCGCCGCGACCGCCTTTGCAGCGCCGCTAGCGATCAGACAACAGATTGTCGGGCAGCCCGACGGCGTTTCCAACATGGTTAATGGACCCACAGCCATTAGCCACCCGAACGTAAATAATGGCGCATTGAAAGAAGGATCAATCGACTCGTCGACCTCGTTTGATGGGGCTCTAATTGAAGGGGCCACAGGAAACTCGTTAACGGATATCAACAACAACCTCAACTTCCACGACAACATTGTATCAAATCCCAATATTAACGCAGCACTTGGAAGCGAAGGCGGCGCAGTCGTTGGTAATGGAAACCAGGTCATCCCTGTTGGCGGCGATGCACCAAATGGCATCTTTTTCAAGCGCCAGGCGCCGGTAGATGTTAGCAATGTGAATGCTCCTGCGGCGGTGAACGATCCGACGGTCAATAACGGCGCACTGGCCGAGGGAACCTTGGATGCAGATTTGTCATTTGATGGTGCAGATGTTGTGAACCCAGTCGGCAACTCGCTGACACAGCTGAACGACAACACGGAGGTATCGGACAATAACTTTGTTGACCCTAACTGGAATGCAATCTCAAACAACAATGGGCCGGCTCTGGCTGGAAATGATAACACATTTATTCCTATCAACAACCAGGGAATGATTGTAAACCTTGATCCGAGCTTCTTTGCAGCACAGCAAGCTCACCAGGACGCACTTATTCACCAATTTGTGCATCCAGGTTTGTTCTAGTGTTTGCGCAGTATCATAGTTAAAGTTAATCTAAAAACGCTTTACACATTTGCTATCATTAAACACAATTTTACAAAATCTATTTATCTCCGGCGCCAGATACGGGAAGGCCATGTCCATCATCGGCCACCGGTATGCGCGGAAATCCGACATGCGTGAGCAGACGCAAAACGCCAACATTGTCAAGAAGATCCTGTTCTTCCTTTGTCTTACACAGCACCAGACCTGCAAAGCCCAACGAATTTATAGATATACCACACCAGCTGCTCTGGCACCTGGGAAACAGGAGCAATGCTGGGCGGGTTAGAACCATATTGTATGATATTCCAGAACCATATGCACTTGTGAGCTCGCGCAGCGCCGCAAGATATACAGTTACTAGAGCCGCTGGTTCCAGATGGCGCTCGGCAAGTCGAACACCAAAGTGTGCAAATGGCAGGCGATCAGATGTAAAGACGCGACCTAGTGGTGGATTCGACCTAAGCCAGAGTTCAGTTGAAGGCGCCAAGTCAAGAGACGCAGGCATCGGTAGCAGCTGCAAATGCTTGTGTGGCTGACTTGCGCCAGATTCCTCCCCCGAGTTATAGAATACAATCTGGCTGTTCGAAAGACCATTTATAGTGTCCAGGACCGCCGCAAAGTCCGTTGTATCCAGGGGCTCGCCTTGCTGGCGAAACTTGGCTGTTGTAATAAGTAGGTGATAGGGTACGACACAGTATTTGTTTAGTAGCAGATTGTGTGAGGCACCCAGCTGAGCAACATGCAGTCGATCGTCGTACGGGAGAAAAGGGTTAACAAAATTCTTTGCACGCTGGTTCTCATTTGGCTTGCTGCTGGGCTTCTTGGCCAGAGCTGGCACCAGCCGGATCATAAAAAGTACACCCTGTTCGCGGTGGCTGTGGATGGTGGACTCCGTAAACAGCAGTGCACCTTGAGCGACGGCACTAGCATAGCGACTGTAAACAAGACCATCAAGGCGCTTGGACATGGTCTCTATAGCAAAGAATAAAAAGACATATAGAGCAGAGAGGCATTGGAAAGGGGTCTGTTACAGAGTTTTATTTACATTTGGCCAAAAAAGTTGACCCCTGGTTACTGTTGCTTTCGCGGTAGCCGACATGGTGGGTTTACGTCAGAAGGGGCACGTGGTAAAACACTGTGCAGTGAAGCCTCTCACGCCAAAAGAGTCCCTGGAAAACCTCCTGTGCATGCTTCGCACCTGCGTTTCTCTTTTTCCCACCTACTCTGAAAAAAACCCCCCCAACTACAGAGCATTTTTAAATTGCGGTACCTAAGCACGAGTTAGAGGAGTTCAGAGGCACGACATAGAACAAAGAAACTAGCGGGAAAGACTTTTTGGTAGTTGACATGGCAGCGATGGAGTCTTCTCCGCCGATGGACAAGGCGTCAGAGTCGGTACTTGGGGGGTTCGGCGCAGTGCAGCAGCTGGCGTCGGCATGCCCGGCGGCGCTGCGGGCGCACTGGGTGGGAGGGGCGGACGGAGCGTCGATAATACCGATTGGCATATTCGCGACACTGCACGCGCTGCGGGTGGCGTACGAGGTGCGTAAGGGCGTGCAGGCGGCGGGACGGCAACCACTGCTACAGGAGCTGTTCATGATGCTGACGTTTTCGTTTGGCGGGGCCATCCTGACGGGGCTGATGCTGGGGCGCGTGCAGCCATGGTTGGAGAACAACACGACGGTGCCGGTGTATGCGACGGCATATCTACTGATGGCACGGATGCCTGGCGACGCGGTGTATCGGCTGCTACGGCGGCTTTCTCCGGTGAGCGACGTTTTTCTGGCCAGCGTTGATGGGCTAGTGCGTGGGTATGGCGTCACCACCGCTGGTGTTGACCTGGTGCGCAGCATGCGCGGTCACCCTGTAAGCGACTCACTGGTTGCCTGGGTGCTGGTAGGTACTGTGCTGGGTAGCGGTGGCGGCCTGATCGATGATGTGCTGCAGATCTCACGCCCACGCTGGAATTTCCGCACACCGTCTGTCTTTACCGCCATTTCGCTAGACGTAAAGCTTTCGTTTGCCGCAACCGTCGGCTACATCCTGTCCACCCACGCCTGGTCATTTGCTGAGCGCGCACCAGCCTTTCCCCTCAGCCCGCTGCTGGACCGCGTACTAGCCCTTGTGCCGCATCTCTCCGACCAGGAGGCTCAGCTGATATCCGGGCTGCTGTGTTCGGCTGTCCTGGGAACCACTGCTCATGCCCAGGCCGCGAGATACGCAGCCGCCGAGCGCGCCGCTGCCGTGACAGCCCGCAGAAAAAAGTTTGATGGCCACGAGCATCCCGATTCGGACAACTTACCCGCCTCCAGCGATGACGTTGATTCTGCAAGTGACTAGGATGCCACCCTTAATCTGGTCCATATTTTATTTATTCTAAACGCCAATTTTCTGAACAAGAAATAGTGTAAACCGTAAGCGCTGACCAAGCCATTAGAAGTAGCAAAAACCCAACAGCACAATGAAAAGCGCATTTATCAAGCAGCAGCGACCTTTCTTTTAGAGGGCCGCTTTTCCGAGCGCTCTTGACTAAGTACATCCATATTTTGCCAGATATCCTCGGCTTCCTTCTGCTCGATCTCCTCAGTAGAAAGGTCACGGCGATCCCAATCCCATACCACCTGCGATACGCGCTGCTTGATATAGGCGCGGTGCAGCGCACGACGCATTCCACC